TTTAGCGGGTTAGGCACGGAAATATTGGTAGACTGCATGGAAGGCGGCCATTGCTGTTGTCCAGTTCCAGCATATCAGGAATGTATTTATATAGCGACCTGGACTGGATAGCCGGAGTTCCACTCCCGGAAGGGGCAACAAACTTTTCTCTTCTCCACCGCGTCCAGACCAGCTCTGGGGACCACCCAGCCTCCTATCCAGTGGGCGCTGGGGACCTCTTTCGCCGCGGGGGGGGGTTAAGCGGCAGGGGCGTGAAGCTGACCACTTAATTAATTAAGCACAGGGCAGTCTTATCGAAACATACAATGAAAAAGAAAACATCATCTGACATTTCATATGCATTCCAATTCACTGCTTGTTACTTCAAATTCAGAAACATCCCCATGTATGACTAGGAAAGTAAAGACGTATATGACACTGAAAAGCCGCCAATGTTTGATTGATGCGTCTCCAGAGGACAAAAGAAGAAAGTTGCTCACGAAGATATCACTGGATATTCTAGTGGTTGCAGCATACCAGCTCCAACACAGAGTGCAACTTAGACACAATAAGGTGTGTCAGCAATGAAGGACAAGAGCCACCTTAAAATCCCCTTGTTGGGTGGATGGATGGATGGATGGAGCCTAAAGGTACCCAGCCCCAGCTCATTCTGGTGGGGGGGTGCCAGTATTGTTCCTACAGTAGGTGCTTTGATAGGTGATGGAATCACCTATGACTTCTAATATTACTGGTGATTCTAAATGAAATAATGATGAATGATGAATAGATGAAACAAACATCTGTGCCACTCAGAAGTTGCCAAATGGGTCAGACATCACACTGCATTCTCAGCTACCCTCATCGCAACCAACTACAAAATAAGAAGTGAGAAAATTAGAAGACTCCTTGCATGGATAGGTTATGTGCAGTTCCCTACTAGTGCAGATCCAAATGCTATAATTAGGAATCAGTTTGAACTTCTGCTACAAGTATGGCTCTTCTTCAGTAATGAAGAATGTCCATCCAATGATAGGTTGAACGAAATTCAACCAACAATTGATAAATCAAAATTTCAAGGAGCGGTCGGGCCAGGAAAGACTTTGTACGGCCGATGAGCATGCCCTTCTCAGGATATTCGCTGTTGAAACAGTACATTCCTCTAAAAGCACATAAATATGGAATAAAGCTGTTCAAACTTTGCACCAACAGAGATACACATGGAATTTGAACATATATGCTGCCAAGAAGGCAGATGCTGGAGCACCTATCCCAACAAACATGGTGTCAGAACTTAAAATGGTAACCATACACTTCAATAAAGCGGATATTGAATCATTAAAGCCTTGATGCGATATTCACATTCACTGTAGTGATATCTGGATCGTGTCTATACTAATAATAATTATATAATAAGACTTTTCTCAAATATGAAACAAATCCACAAATATAAATCACTCCGTCCAATGTGACCTGTAATACAGGTCACATTGGACGGAGTGATTTATATTTGTAATTGTTAGTGTGACGGACCAGAATGAAACAAATCCCTGAAACCAAAGTTCACATGGGACACCTACAAGCCATAGTGGGCGGATAAACATTAGAGATATGTCTGGCTATCAGTCACATGGCAGTGGATTGCAGCCAAATGTGAACATGTAAAAGTAGACAAAAATGACCATTACAGCAGTAAGACAGATGATCTGCAGAGGGCACTTGCATCCACTGTGACATTCAACATGTTAAACACCTGAATATTTGCACGTTCTCAAAGAATACATATGCTGAAGAGACAGCAAATTTTTCAGAATAAGAAATAAATTAACAACAAAAACAGTAAAATCTGAAATACTGTAAAAAAATCTGGTCTAGAGAGTACATCACTGCTTGAAGGTTAGAAAAGACTGCACAGGCAGATGTCATCACAGAGAGCACAAACTCATGATGATCAATGTTCCAAACTGAAAGTAAACACCTTTATACAAAATAAACATCACATTCTACATTTATTTCCTGCTTCTGCAAATTGCTTGTAATGTTTTTCATTCAACAGTAAATTATATTTATGTGTACACAATCTCTCCTTGGCATAGTATAATGTGTGAAAATTTTCCCATCATGCTTGCATAAACTTTTTTTCTTGATTCCTAAATTAGCTGTAGTCTTCTCAGTTTCGTCAACTTTACAGTGCATACAAAAGATTAACTTCCTGGTTTCTTCAGAATCAGGGACACTGCATCTACAATATTCGTATAAGAGTTACTGCAATTTACAGCTGAGTCGAACACATATCCATATATAAATCTATTATTGGAAATATAAACACAACACAACACAACAAGACTTCTTCAGCTGCATACAATATGTATTAAATACTGAACTATACTTAATGTATTCAAATGCAACTCTTGCAATAGACTGTACATCTCATTTTGTTGAAAATTTTTATTATATTACTTTATTGCTTTGTGAGCTGATCTACCACCACTGAACAAAGGTTGCAGTCTCTATTTGGAAGATATCTGTCTCACTGTTTAATGACCAGTAGCCAACCAGTATTATTANCCAGAGGCGTTAGAGACTGCTGTTGGGCGTGAAACGTCCTTGAATTTGGCTCAGTGATCTCTTTTGGAGACATGAGGTTCTTTTACCTGCCGTAAAGCTACGACACGGGACCCACGGCTTAAAGTCCCTCCCGGAGGACTTGTTCCCTGAATTTTTCCGCCCTTAAAAATTCCAAGACCTCCACCAGGTTTGAACCCGCGTACCTTGAGTCATGAGGTGGGAACGTTACCCCTAGACTACAGAAGCCACTTAGCCAACCAGTAAATAATAACCAGTTACGTGATCTTCATGGAGTGAACAGGGCATGAATTATGGGTATTTCCAAATGTCTCAATTATCTGTTTCATTTAATTATCTGTGCTACCTCTCTTCTCCATTATCATATAACTGACAGTTCACAGTAGTTCTTTCTGACAGCCTTCTGGGGCCAAATGAAAAGTGCTTAAAATCAAGATAAAAGAAAAAATCCACGAGCGCAAAATTGAAGTTTTACTGTAGTTTCAACCCACAAGAGTATCATTACACCTAACTTAATACTATTCTTCCAAAGCAAATATAAATTCATTATTTTGCATTGATACACATCTCTCTGGCCATGGCCAATTGAAAAATATATAAAGCACAGTATTACTATAGATCTCTGAATATTCAGTTAGGTTTTCATCCATATATTTCAAGATACAAGGATTATCTACCTCAAACAACAGCTACATTCCCAAGAGTGATCACGTACCTCATCACATGACTTGAAATGTGGTACTCATTTCTGTTACTCATTTGCATTCATTTCCTTTAATGTTCAGTGGAAAATATGTAATTCAGTTAACTGTAATACCATTCATTCCAGGTGTTTACAAATTCTAATTAAACTTATTAAATTAAAAAGGACTCTTTATGAAATCAGACTAATGCAAAATGTGTGCAAATCCAATCAAATAATTTCAAGGATGCTTGCACTGCATTATATTTGTCCATCTTCAGGCACTGTACATAAGTATAATCAAATGTGGAAGCCACTCACAGTATTTCTACAGCTCAAGTATTACAATGCAAATCTGACATATGAATGAATGTATAAGGGGTGGGCTTTCTCGGCCCTTGCATCTGACACATAATCGAACTAATGTTGTGTACAGTCTAAAACAATGTTGCATATCTTGGTTCACATGATGTACATAATAAAATTTTGTGTCACGTCATTGGGATTCAGGTTGTCTTATGCCTGTTGTAAATATTTATGTGACTCAGCCTCTAACAGAAATGAGTACCAGGAATATTCTTGGGGGTAAAGGGCAGCCAGCATGTAGGGCTGACAAACTTTCCGCCAGCTATGAGCCAATTATCTAGAAAATGTGGTAACCTCAACATCTCACAACCCTCCACAGCCTGTTACAGGGATATCTTTACTTACTTACACTCATCAGAAACATGGGTGATCTTAATTCTTGATATAAAGAATCAATATTAGATTTCTAATGAAAGTGGAGGGAAATAAACTTAACATTTACAAAAAAAAAAGGTAAAGTTATCCCTGTTCTTAACTAATTAAGCGCTGCGCCATGAAGGTGTACAGGAGAGGGGATGTATAGATCCATATTTTCTTGACCTCGGCACTAGCTGGAGGTGAGTGGTCAGCTTCACGCCACTGCCACTTTACCCCCAGGGAAAGAGCCCCCAGTACCCATTGGATAGGATGCTGGGTGGGCCCCAGAGGCAGCCTGGATGATATGGAGAAGAAAACCAAAATGAAACATTGATTAAGACCATCATTTGGACTTCACATATCCCAGTTTAAGACCACTCAGGACTTAAAATTCTGTTCATGGCTAAAGCTTATGTAAAAAAACTGAATATAAAATTAAAGAAATGGAACCTGATGCTAAAACATTTGGCAATACCAGAAAATAGCAGTCCCATACAGTTTCTGGTACATAATGTTTTGTGATCCTAAGCCAGGCAAGAAACCAGCATGAAGTTCTACTGTTGCCAGCTTCATACTGGTTTCTTCTCTGTTCCTCAAAAACACGGATTGACATTCACTGGATTATACGGTGTTACATCGCAGAAGACAGAATGCTTCATACTCATTGCTGTGAGATTCTCAGTTCCTACGTAAGATGAAATATTATTAATTAAAAGGAATGTACACTACAGGATGAATTGGCTATAGGATTCCATTTTCAGTACACTTCCGGCCATCGTCTGGTGGTGGGAAATTCATATGTACTTACACAGGACTTTTCTTCTGAATGGTTATCTACGTAAGGTATGATGTATTGTGGTTTATAGAGCAGATGGTCTCTTATATTGTACCTGCACAGTAGTAGATGGCACTGTGTACTTTTTACAAATTCTGTCATGGCAAAGCTCATGTAAAATGAAAAAATAACATAAAATTGAAGAAATGGAACAAGTAATAGGCTACAATATTAACACAAATGAAGAAAATCATAATATATATTGTATGCAGTATTAACTTTTTACTGTAACAAAAATAATTATAACAATATGTTTCCCAAATCTCTGGGGATAATGTGGAACCTTAAGTTATACAGAATTCATAAATCAGATAATGAAGGAAATGTATGGTATAGGAACCTCATATCCCTCTATCCTTTGTTCCTTTTAACTGAAATAAAACACATCTACGGCACTATTGGTTTCATATTAAGTATGGTGTAGTATCTTATTGAAAGCATTATATGATGACTCCAAGTCAAATATTAGCTGTCGAACTTGTGTCTCTGAAAGTTCATCAGATGCCTGCATTCCTGAGAGAGTGGTTAGCCAATCTGATACTTTCTGCTTGCCCTCAAAGTCTGATGGGAGAAGGCTGAGTCTGTTCATTGTATCCATGAGATCGCGCAGATCTGGGTGAAGCTCATCCATCGCCTTTATTTCTAGCCTCAGCTTGTCCATAATTGTGATAAACAGCTGTTGACACAAATAATTATTAGACAAAATCAGCGCAGATCTCATTAACTATGAGTACGTTACTTAAAACAAGCATCACTTACACAAATTTTTTAGCTTTTCACAGCAGACTGTCTAGTCTTGTAGGCAGATACTGTTGTTTTGGAGGGACATGGAGAATTTGTCTTCAGGGTTGAAGTAAGTTGGGTGACAAACTGGTTCAGTTACAAAGGCACGTTATAAGAACAGTGGCAGTAGGACAAGAGAGGAGGTTAATAAGAAAAAATTGGCAGCCCTTTTGAGGGATACAAGTTTATCAGAAGGGAATTTAAAAAGTGAGAAATTGTAGTGCAACCCTCTCCGGGAATCAAGTGGTGATTTCAGAATGTAAAGTACAACTGTGGGAAGAAATAAAAAAAATAGATGACCCTTCTCAGAGTGCCAGGAAGTTCTCCATGAGGGGGGGGCACTTGAGAACTGGGAAGAAGTAGCCCTTTACAGGGCCCCTACAGATGGGAAGGGAACAACCCTCTTAGTACCCTTGAGGGCCCAATTAGCAAATATCCCTCCTCTGAGAAAACTCACAGGGGCCCTGAAGAGGACCGCATTTGTCCACATTTTCTCACAATTCCACATTTTCCACCAAAAACAACACAGCATCTTTCCTTTCTCAAGCTTACATTTCACATACATGATAGTAAACTAGCATGCCCCTTAAAAAGTCGGTTTACTGCCAATTCTTTCCCACTGGTCCAGACCAGGCTCCTTTTCTTTACCTGCTCTCCTTAGGTATCATGGCTGTCATCCTTATAAACTGCACGTATGGTCAAGCCAATTCCTGAACCTACATATTGCAACACTAAAGATGGAGGCAGCACATTCCTCTGAAATGTCTGTGTTAATCTACAAGATTACACAGTCTTGCACCTCACATTTTTAATTCAAAGAAACACTGATAAGATTATGTATATGCTAAATAAGATACAGCTTAGAACCTAATCACATCTGTTTTCCTCATGCTTGTTTCCAAACAGGACAAATGATGTATGTAGCAGAGTCATCACTTACAAAACATGGACGTGAATATGTCAATGTAAGAGTGCGGCATTTTCCAACAATTTAACTCTCATCTTTAGCAGCGATTACTGTACTCTCTATCTGTCATATATTATCTCCTGACAACTGTTAAGTTCATGATTGTTACTTTGTAGAAGGCTAGAAAACCCTTTCAATGTTTTATGTAATAATAATCACAAAATATTACTGCACAGATCCTACATATTTTATCTGATTCCCTGGAACAGAGTTCATCTCAACAAGATCACAGCTGCATACCATGTTCGAAAATTCCTCGTAATTTATCAAACTTAAAAGTTTATTACTGTGTTCACAAGACAGTTGGTATGACAGAGTACATACAATGATAAACACATAACAGGATGCATTCCTTAAAGATGTTCACAAGATCCTGCCTCTTTGACCCTATCCTGAGCCAGATGAATCCAGTATAAACCTTCCCTCGTATGCATAGGTTTTTCCAGTGTTCCCAATCCTTCAGATCTTCATACAAAAACTTTGTATGCATTTCTCTTCTATACCATATGTGCTTCATCCATCCTCCTCAATTTGTTCACCCCAATAACGTCCGGCACGGACTACAATTTATGAGGCTCCTCACTGTACCGTTTTCTTCAGCCTTCTGTTACTTCTTCCCTCTTTGATCCAAGTACTCTCCTCATTACCCTCTTGCAAACACCTTCAATCTTTGGAAAGTCCAAGCAAAACATAGTTTTTATATACCTTCATCCTCCACACTTTATACTTACAGAAACTATATCAGCTATGCACTTGCTAGTGTTCCCTTTATCATCCTTAATTGTAATTGGTCTGTCTTCCTTTATCCGTTCCAAAGCAGCTGGGCAATCCAGCTGGGTACAAACATAAGGCCATATTAGCTTCTTACTCTTATAAATATATACCTACAGGAATGACTGTGGTCATCAAATATGAAATGTCAATGTATTTTAGATGGGGCACGCAGAAGTGTAATTGGTTGTGGCACTATGCTACAAGCCAGAAGGTCGCGGGTCTGAGTCCCGATGAGGTGGATTTTTTCCAGTTTACCTAATTCTTCCAGCCACACTATGGCCCTGGGGTCAACTCAGCCTCTAACAGAAGTGAATACCAGGAATCTTCCTGGGAGTAAAGGGCGGCCGGCATATAAGGCTGACAACCTTAATGCCATCAGTTAGCCAAATGTCTAGAGAGAATGTGGAAGCCTCAACATCTCACAACCCTATGGGTCTTCATGGTCATGTGTAAAATTTTCCACATGACAGCCAAGACCTTGTTCTCATTTTTAACAAAAGTAAATTTGTTCATTCATGCATACATGTATGGTGTTCAGGAGGTTATGGGTGACAGTTATGGGGGCCTAGGTATTGGCTATCCAGATTGACATCTTCCACTGATTCCTTTAATCTCTCAAAGTAAATGCTGGGATATTATCCCCATTAAGCCACAACCACCTTCATATCCCATACAGTTTTACATTGTTCACTACTTATTGTATCATTTGACACTACAGAATCTGAGCTACTGAAAGCATTATTAAACCTTTGACGTGGTCATTTAAATTCCGCGGCCGCGGCTCCTNTATAATCTGAGCTACTGAAAGCATTATTAATACATAATGCATATTTAAGATCCATACTAATATTATCATTCCACTCACACACATGTATTGCACAACCACCCCTTCTCATGATATTTTTTAAACAAATTTTCATGCATTTTTCCCTAAATGTGGTGTATATATACTTCCTACTGCAGTCTTCTTCATCCCAGTCACTTTGATATTAAGATCTCCATCTTCTGACATGCAATGATGTGTTACTTGGTAGATGGTACAAGTGCCTACAAAATTACAATGTCACATGTAAGAAGACTGTTATCTTAATATTCGCTGCTGTGAAAACTGCACATCACGCTCTAATACCAGATGAACAGTAAAAGGTACATTTGTCCAAGCACTTATTTAAGCACCATGCTATGAAGACAGATTGGAGAATTTGGGGCTGAGGTACAGCTCCATGCATTCTTAACCTCAGCATTAGTTGCAGGCCCCAATCACATTACTCTAAATTAACACTGGACAGAAGGCCGACTGGGCCCCAGAACTGGTCTGGATGGTGCAGTGAAGAGAAAATTTCTTGTTCCTGCTGGGAATCAAACAATCATTCCTCAGACATCCAGCTCATAACCTATCTGCCATCCTAGTGTTCATTAGAAGAATACCAGATACTATAAAGCTGCTCATTACATAATTTTGTCCAAACTTTTCTTGTATGATCTCTCTATTAAAAAGGTAAAGCTATCACTGTAACAAGCTGTGAAGGCACACAGGGTTGTGAGACGTTGAGACCCTCACATTTTGTCTAGACAATCAGCTCACAGATGACGGTAAAGTTGTCAGCCTTAAGAGCCAGCTGCCCTTTACCCTCAGGAAGATTCCTGGTGCTCATTTCCGTTAGAGGCTGAGTCGACCCCAGGGTCATAGCGCAGATGGAAACATTAGATAAACTGAAAAAATCCACCTCATTGGGGCATAGTGCCTCAACAAACTACACTACTGTGTGCCCCTGTCTGATCTCTCTATTAGAGACAAATATTCCCTCAAATGGTTACACTTTTTAAGCTGTCCCTGTGCTTAACTAATTAAGCACCATGCCATGAAGTGAATGTATAGGCACACAGAGTATGTATAGATCCACATTTTCTTGGCCTCGGGACTAGCCAGAGGTGAGTGGTCAGCTTCATGCCCCTGCTGTTTTACCCCCAAGGAAAGAGCCCCCCCCCCCAAGTACAAACTGGATAGGAGGTTGGGTGGACCCAAGAGCTGGTCTGGATGACATGGAGAAGGGACTTAAACTCCAATCCCTCAGTTGTCCAGCCCATAGCCAGTCACTATACTAACTATGCTATCCCAGCTCACTGTAAACATTTGATTCTATTAAAAAACAAAAGAAATGATTAATGAAAAGGGGACCTATGCATTTAAAACAAAATTTACATCAACACATGTTTCCATTATCATTCAGTTCTTACTCTGTACTTCTTCACAAAAGTCTCTATTGTTGGGAACTCATCTCCTTGAACTTGATTGAAAGCTGCCTTATACTGCACAAGAAGTTTTGAGCATGCGGCTGTATATTCTTTGGGAGTCACACAATCTCGAATGTAGGCTTTTTCCAAATTCTGTAATGTATTGATGACTGCATATAAATCAGCCATATTATCATACCTGAAAGAAATTACAATTCATAGTTATAGTTGTGATACTCTGGACGTCAATATGACAAACATTTCAAAATAAACCAATCTAATTATTTACACTGGTTTTATTTAATAACTGCTGCATGTTTTGGTCCATATTTCGCACTATACTCAGGCAGTTTCATTAAATATTCCTCATGTTATTGAAATATCCTAACATGGATCCATTATAGTGTTAATCATTATAATCATCATAACACATATAATTATTACTAAAATTGTAAAATATGTACATTTTCTAAAATTCTCTTGTTGTTACAATGTAAAATTCTGCTCTATTTGTCATGTAACGTAAATGGTGTTTATCTTCTGGGGTCTGCTCTTATGTATTATATGTTTTTGGTATTATTCGCAAATAATCTTATTATTAGTTTTTTAGTTTTTATATGCAGTTCGTCTTGCCTTCTGGAATGTAACATCGTGATCAGTTTTTTTCTCTTTCGAGTGTGTTCTTTATTTCTTATCATGTGGACATTTGTTTTTGTCTTCTTCCTGTTCCTGGCTTCAATGTTTTTTTATTGCTAGTGGGGTTGGACTAAGTCCCTTGTACTGTGGTCACTTGTGGCCTATTGTACCAGCCCCAGATGATATGTGAGGGTGATTGTGGAGCAATTGGTGGAATGAAGATGGGCAGGGGAAACCGAAGTACTCGAAGAAAACCTGTCCCACTTTGTCCACCACAAATCCCACTTGACCAGACCTGGGATCGAACCTGGGCTGCCGCGGTGGGAAGCCAGCGACTAACCACTAGAGCTATGGCGCAGCCTGGCTTCAGTGTTACATGTACAACAGTATATATGCAAGATCTGATATTCTCACCATGGCGATTATGAAGAGTTCTACCTTCCAGAATATTAAGCCACACAGTCTGTTGAAAGTTAGTGTTTCACACAAACGTACTGCCTCTATCTTCAGGTCTGAACAGCAAACCAAGCAAGAAACTGGCATTAAGCTCTGCTGCTGGATTCATGCCGGCTTCTTGCTTTGCTTACTCTTTGTCCCTAATGATGCAGGTAACATTTTCCTCTGAAATGCTGGTTAAATCTCAGTGGTCCACACAGCATCATATCCCAGAAGGTAGGATTCTTCAGTAAAAACCCAGATTACATAGTCAGAGTACCTTTGCCTCCAGTCCTGCAATGCATGCCAAATGCCAGAAGCTTCAAGTGTACGCTTCTTGCTCTTAGTTGATACATTAGAACCTTATTTTAAACATTTCCCTTCAAAATGTTCTTTCCAATTTGTTTCATGTTCTAATATGTTCTTGTGACTAATCACAGCTAGGCTACATTATCACTGAAAAAAAAAATCTGTGTCCTCAACACATATGGAAATCAAATAACAAAGTAATATTAATCATTCAGCAGTTATGCAACAACAGACAAGCAAATTCTGAGTTCCCACAAAAAAAAAAAGGTTCTTCAGAAAGAAGAATGTTTAGAAGAGCAAGGCTGTGCAGAAGATAAGGGATCACAGAGGGCTGGGTTTGTGAATCAGTTACATAAATAAACACTAAAGCCTCACTTTTCTCTTTCCCGGGCATTTCTAAACAACTTGACCTCCTCATAAAGTTCTGGTCTGTTGGAATCTGTAAATAAAAGAACAATGTTATTTTGATGGATATATATGTAAGAAATTGCTCTTGGGATAAACAATATACATACAAAAATATGTGAAAGAAAATGAGTCTCTGACATGAAAAATAATTTCAGAACGGTGCAATTATATTAAAATTCACATTCCAGCTTTGTATGATGAAAAATGCTGTGATATAATGAAAGCAATTTTGGTATCCGAACTCAATTTTCTCTTCATTCATTGAGTGATATCCTGCATGTACTTTGGGAAATTTCCATATTCGAAATTCTAAGAATTGACTAAAACTAAAAATGACCACTGCACGTTAAATCCATGGTGTCACTGCAATAAAAAAAATAATTACACACAGCATTTCACATTCTCAAAGGAGAGCTGTATCCCAGATGATACAACTCTTTCTATTAAACACACTCACTCATGCAGCTGAGCCCTTCTTGAGGAGCCGCCAATTGTGCAACTACCCAAACGTTCATCGCCGCATTCACAAGAGCCCTCCATTGGTCCCTGTCCTCAGCCAGAGCTATCCAGTCCATTACATCCCATCCTATCTCTCTACGTTCCATTTTAATATTGTCCACCCACCTACATCTTGGTCTTTCCGGTGGTCTCTTTCCTTCTGGCTTTCCCACCAATATCCTATATGCATTCCTTGTCATCCCTTCCATCTCATCCTCCTTGACCTGATCATTCTAATTATACTTGGTGAAAAGTACAAGTTATGAAGCTCATTATGCAGTTTTCTCCAACCTCCCATCACTTCATCTCTTTTCAATCCAAATATTATCCTCAGCACCCTGCCCTCAATCATCCTCAGTCTGTGCTCCTCCCTTAATGTCAGAGACCAAGTTTCACACCCATACAAAACCACATGCAAAATTATAGTCTGTAGATTCTAATTTTTTAGTTTTTAGACAGCAGACGAGAAGACAAAAGCTCCTGGACTGAATAGTAGCAAGAATTACCTGAAGTCAATCTGCTCTTAATTTCCTTCTGAATCAGGTTTCGATTTGTTATGGTCATTCCCAAATATCTCAACTGCACCATATTTTCAAAACATCTGTTATCTGTGTTTATGTCATGATTTTGCCCTGCATTCTGGTGGCAAGACAGCAACATATACTTAGTTTTTTCTGTGTTTACTTCTAGACCAACCTCTTTACTAGCATCAGTTAGGGTTTCTGTGTTTTTCTTTATGTTGTCTGTGTTACCTTCCAGTAGAGTCACATCATCAGCATAGACCAGCAGCTGATTTGTCTCATTTAATTTCAGTCCCACCTGGTTTCCTGGACCTTCCTAATCACATATTCCAAAGCAAAGTTGAAATGCAGTGGCAATAAAGCATCTCCTTGGTTTAGACCATTCTGCATAGGAAAATTATTAGACAAATGTTTACCTATACAGACTTTAATATACGTTTAGTTTAAACACATTTTAATCAGCCTAACTAGCTTCATAGGTACCTCAAACTCTATGAAAATATTATACAATACTTCCCTCCTAACTGAATCACAGGCTTTCCTGAAGTCTACAAATAGCTGATGTACTGTCTGATTGTACTGCCATTTTTTCTCCATTATCTGAAGAATACAAAAGATCTGATCAATAGTTGATCTGTTATGTCGAAACCTACAGTCATGATCCCAATAATTTCATCTATGTGTGCAATTAACCTTGAGAGAAAAATATTGGATAAAATTTTGTATGAAGCTGATACCAGTGATTTCCCACAATAATTACTAGTCAGTTTTATCACCCTTCTTGTGAACTGGTATAATAATATGACTCTCTCCACTGATCAAACAGTTTTCCTTTATGCAAAATAGAAGTAATTAGCTTATGGATCTTAGAACATATTTTGCCTCCTGCTTGAATAAGTTCTGCCAGAATTTGATCACTACCTGGCAATTTATACCTTTTCAAATTTGCAATAGTAATTTCAACCTCAAAAGGGCTAGGATCAGATACTAACAGCTCAGCTGTATATATTTTTATCTGCCTAACATCACTGACTCTATGTGCATTCAGTAGATGAGAGAAGTAGTTCCTCCACCTATTCAAAATGTTGTGGGAATCTGCAAGCAGATCACCATTCTCGTCCTTCACTAAGTTACTTATAGGTTGCTAACCTCTCTTGAAGTCATTTATTCTTCTATAAAGGTCTCTAATATTCTTGTTCTTACTGTCCATTGCAAGCTCATCAATTCTGTCTTTCAGATATTCCCTCTTTCTATTCCTGATATGCCTGCTGGTTTCACGTCTAATATTGTTCAGATTATCTCCATTTATTTCACTTGGATCTTGCAACCACTGCAATTTGGCTTGTTTCCTTTGGTCTAATAATTTTGAGCATTTTTTTTTTAATTGTTTCATTTTTGGTCCGTTACACTATCAATCACAAAGTCAATAGAAAGTCCGTCGAGTGTAACAATTTGTAGGTCACTTCTTTATCACATCTGCCTTACATGTTTCGGTTTAAATACAACCATCATCAGAGGCACATAGTACAATCATGAAAACACTGTTGTTGTTTAAGATGTACACAGTTATGTTTGCTGCGTGGACGCTGCTACAATATGTCGACGTGTAAAAGCACAACACTTGCTAGGATTGTTGAATGCACTACCAATTCTCACATTCCATCCGAAACTGCCCTCAAGTTAAAACCCCAATNGCTTCTTCAATTCATAATAACCTAACCTCTCTTTGGCTGAAAATTGTATGTTCTCTCTAACAGTTTCCCAAATTCTATTAATATCCACCTCAGTGTCCAAGTTTTCCAAAGCCGCAAACCTATTTGAGATTTCATCACGATTCTGCTCTTTACCCTCTACCTCATTTAATTTCTTGAGATTGAACTTCTGCATATGAACTCTGTGTGTTGTTTGTTTGCTCACTGCCAGTCTCTTCCTAACCTTTGCCACCATCAGGCAGTGGTGAGTATCACAATCTGCTGCCCTGAAGGATCGGACATCAGGTATACTTGAATGCTGTCTCCTATCTATCAAAATATGGTCAATTTGGTTGTATGTCTTGCCATCAGGAGATCTCCAAGTAAATTTATGGATGTTACGATGTGGGAACATTGTACTTTTGACAGTAAGATTTTTGGATGTGACAAAGTTTACTACTCTAACTCCACTATCATTACAAATTTCGTGTAAACTCTCATTCACAACTATTGATTTGAAAATGTCTTCCTTACTTACTTTGGCATTGAAATACCCTAACAAAATATTAATATGGTATTTGGGGAATTTATCGAATATATGGTCTACGAGTAGTTCTTCGTAGAACCTGTTCTTCACATCAACTTTATCTTCTGTTGGGGCAAGAACATTCAGATCGATGATATCACACCAGCGACCTCTTAGTATTATGAATGACATCCTATCACTACGAACTCTACCCTCTTCACTGCTGATATGATTCTCTTATGTACAAAAAAACACCTGTAACTAATTCATGATTCTCATTCCCCTTTCCATAGAAAATGTATACTCACCTGCTGGTTCAACATACCAGCTAAAAATTTCCACTGTATAATATAGTCACTTTCAGTTCATACCTTGCAATATGGATCCAGGCCTGGGACTGTGCATATAAAATGCTTCTCACACTTGCGCACTGGTGGCTGGATTGGCCAAAGCCTCCACTGTCTCCCTCAAATTTGAAAGGGTAGTATGTTCTGACTGTGGGATAAGTACTCCTTGTCGAGTCCGTTACTCTGCAGCGAGAGCGGGTACATAATATTCGTTGCCATCTGTGACTGGTCCGACTGCTTTGATCAGCCTACCAACTTGATCTGGATAGGCATTTTCTGTTTGTGTGACCAAATGGAAGTCTGAGCGAGTCAGTACTTCATATACTTCATCAGCTCGCCGGATGGGTGCGTCCTGTATTCTTCTATTATTATACAATCTAGCTTCAAATATAGCTAGGTTCACTCTATAAAATGCACAGATGTTACAATAAACTGGATTCCGCTGTGCACTAGCTTGAAAATAAATTTGTGCGGCGCAGAATCCCAGTGTTCTAGTGGTCACCAATAATGTTACTGCAGTCAATTTCTCTAAGCCCGACACCTAATTTACTGTCAAGGGCCTCAGTCACTTGTTTAGCGTATCTTTACCGTGATCCAAACACAGCCGTTCAGTCCGTTTTCTGTTATATGCTCGGCGAGCAGGGGCTACTCTCTGGCTGGTACGGCCTCGTTACGGTGCAAAAGTTCGGAGCGCATTCTCATACTGTGATCACCGCTGACCATATCCCTTACAGATAGGGAAGGGAACTGCTATTGTCCCTGGGTATGATTACCATAGCGTTGCTGGTAAGCCATTGAGTGATGGTAAATGGGTCGGAAATCCAAAACCCCACAATCCCGATGAGGTAATTGAATTTTTTTCAATTGACCTAATCCCCTCATTGGTGTCTCCACCTTATCGTGGTGAGGGGGTTTGAGTATGCCAAGGACCCTGAGAGCTATACCAGGGGTAGCGTAGCTACTGGCAGGGCCTCCCTTGCTGGACAGGTCAAAGGGTAGGCATCAGACGAAGAGAGACACCAAAAACCAAAAACTGATGCCGGAAGCAGCGTCATCAGCAGCAACTTGAAGCACAGAGCAAATGATCCTCAAGATGGTTCAAGTTCATATAGTAACAGGTGTGACCAGAGTGGTTTGAACGGCTGTTGTACTGCGATTTGGAAAGCAAATGGAAAAACTACCATATTATCACTTTTCCTGGATTGTCTCTTTCCAAAAACAGACATACCATGTATGCGAGATTAAACTGGAGGGGCGGATAGAAGTGACTAGAAGACGAGGAAGAAGACGTAAGAAGATGCTGGATGACTTTGGGGATAGACGAGGATATTTTTATTTGAAGAAGAAAGTTGAGATTGCATTAGGTGGAGAAACTGTTTTGGAAGAGACTGTGGACCTGTCGTCTGACAGATTACTAATGAATGACCTAATCCTTCCCGCTGCACTATGGCTCTGGGGTCGACTTAGCCTCTAACAGAAATGAGTATCAGGAATTAATTAAATAATTTTCCTGGGGAGTAAAGCATGGCCGGCGCGTAAGGCTAACAACCTTACCGCCATCTTCGAGCAGATTGTCTAGATAATGTTACTGCAGTCAATTTTTCTAAGCCCGACACCTAATTTACTGTCAAGGGCCTCAGTCACTTGTTTAGCGTATCTTTACCGCGATCCAAACACAGCCGTTTTTACAACCATACGGGCCTTCACGGCCTGTTACAGGGATAGCTTTACTTTACGTTCTTACCTTGAGATGAAGGCATTACTCCACCCGTTGACATACCGTGAATTATACCAGAAACCTTTGACAAACCTAGAACACCTTACAGCTGACTAATATCTATATGACAGCATTAAACAAAATTAAACAATGCTATAAACATAACCATATTTCATTCGTTATTATACGGGTCCAATAATAACGCGTTCAACTTCTTATTCGCTAGTAAGATAATATGTTGTTACTTAAACTATATCATAGCAATAATAAGTAATGCTATGTGAACAACGTTTATTGTCAAGTCGTATTATTTGCACTCATCTAATTCTGCGGAGAAATGTGTTGGTCCTACTGGTCGTGGCGGTCGTGGCCTTCATTTTAATTTTTAACCTCCACCCTGCTGTGGAATGCGTGTGTTTTACAGTAGGATGTGATGGATGTGATCGAACATGGCGCCTGTGGAGGTAAACAATTTTACATTGTGTGCTGTATTTTTTCTATTTCATGCTAATCTTAACGTTTTTGTTGTATGAATTCAAAATTATTTCAAGATAAATGTTTCAAGTCTCCATACAATTGAGAATAATTTGTTTTCAGGATTTGGCAGCAGACTTTAAAGGAAAGGGCAATACAATATTATTTAATTCATCAAAAAAGGAACTCTTTAAAATCAATGAAAATTACAAAACTTTGCACCGAAAATTGAAAGGAAACTGGAAAGTACTGACGTAAGTAGCTCCATTAGCCCCTGCCTTTCCCGCTGTATACAATCAAGGACTTGACTGTTGTTTCTGTACCGATATGATACCCTCAGCATGAATGTTTCCATATTACGATATGTGTGTGTGTTTTGTAGTTTATAAATATAATACATGCAGGATATTACGTGACCTATTGGGCAAACTTCAGGAACATGTTCTATAGGTCATTTGGAGCAAAAAATACCCACTAAAGTGTAGATCAGTTCGATACCATTATCAAGTTGAGCGTTAGTGGAACAAGCTGGAACTTCTATAATTTGACCGATTTTCTTCTTGTACGACGTCTAATGTGGCTGTGTTGTGTGGCAGTGCAGTCATAGTCAAAATGTGTAACACATTTACAAGTGAAGAATACGTGAACATGCATTTTATATACAGTTTCTGGACTGGAAATGGCAGGGCTGCCTTGGTGGAATACTAGCAACAATATCCACTTATACAGAATTCCGCGTCACCAGACACTTATGAACGTACACAGAACTTTGAGGGAGACTGCTGGACGCTTCCCACAAGTGAATGCAGAATGAACAGCGACAGCAAGGGGAAGAAGATGTTCTGGCAGCAATTCTCAAGTACAAGTAGGCACAGAATTTCCAGGATGATTGGTGTAACAAAGACACATGCATGGAGAATATTGCATCATGATAGTTTCTATCCATATCAGCCCCAAAGAGCACAACACCTTTTACCACGATGCGTAAGATTTTGCAGACGGCTGCGACCATAGCTACACATTCTGTTTATGGGTGAGACTGAATTTACCTGGGATGATATTGCCAGCACAAGGAATTCACACTCTTGTGCACACTGAGATCCACATGAGGCAGCAGGACATCATTTTCAAGACCAATTTTCAGTTCAAGTTTGGTGCGAAGTATATGGTAATAACCTGATTGGACCACATGATATTGAGGGGCATTTAGCAGCTCCATATTATAGGAATTTTCTGGGAAATGAATTATGCATTTAGAGATGTGTCTCTTGAAACACAAAGATGAATATGGCCACAACATGATGGAGCAACTCTGCATTCCAGTAGTGCATGAATGAAATTTTTGAACAAAGATTAAAGAGGAAGGTATGGACTGATGGCTTGGCTAGCTCTGTCTCCTAACTTAAATCAGTTACATTTCTTTCTTTGGGATTGAATGAAATTGAGATTGTATCATGGTGGTAAATCAGAAGTAAGCCATCAGTAGATGCCATAGATGAAGCCACCCTAAATACCAGAGATGAATCGGCATGCATGCAGCCTAATAGTAGATATTTCAGACACATGTTATAACAACTGTCATTCACTATTTCTATATCCACTGCTCTTCCAGCCATGTAAGGATCTGTGGAATGTAAATAAATGAATGACTGAATTGAAACTTAATTGTTGTAAGCATTTAAAATGACAATAAATGTGATTTTGAAAAGGAGGTCTTTGTTCCGTGCAACACTAAGCTATCACTTGATAATGATGTCAAATTGACCTGTAGTTTATTAGAAACTTTTTGCTGCAAATGACCTATAGAACATGCTCCTGAGGTTTGGCCAGTGTGCCATGGAACACTGCACATGTGTGCATGCATGCACACAAATACACACACACACAGTATTGCAAAATAGTCCTGTACCAGATTTTTGAAGTCAGCTGTCTATTACTTTTACAAGTGGTGTTCTAGTAGATCCTAAAGGGTTCTGACGATGGCATATAATACTCAGAAATACTGGGTGTTTGGACTTTGTCCATTGTCCTGTATTCTAGAAACTAGAAAACACATTATTTTGGAAACTGGATCAGTTTCCATCCTAAGGTGAGGGGGGAGACACCTACTCTGTTGGGTCCCTGGTCCAGTGATTGAAGTTAGCTCTTTCTAAGGGATCCAATAGAGTAGGTGTTTCCCTCTCACATGAGGACTGAAACAGATCCAGTTTCTAAAACGTTTTCTATTTTCTATGGTACCAGACAATGGGCAAAGTCTGAAAACCCAGTAATTCCGAAGGGGTGTCCTGTTTTATAGAATAACCGATGAATTTGATTCTTACCCTTATCATGCAATATTAGAGGTGTGGAAAGTTTTCTTACTTATTCAATAAGAACTGGAATATTGCTGGAATGTTCAATGAAAGCATTTCATGGGTTAAGTACTCATACAGGAAAGCTGACACTTCTTGGTTGCTTCTGATTTCATGTTGTGTAAATGTATAATATTTGTTCAAAATGCTGATTAACAAATAAAGTGTCATCAAGTAAGATGTGGAAGAGCGGCCTCCATAGTCTAGAGGTAACGTTCCCACCTCATGATTCAAGGTACGCGGGTTCAAACCCGGCGGAGGTCATGGAATTTTTAAGAGCGGAAAAATTCAGGGAACAAGTCCTCCGGGAGGGAAATATAAGACATGGGTCCCGTGTCGTAGCTTTACGGCACATAAAAGAACCTCGTGTCTCCAAAGGAGGCCACTAAGCAAAATTACGGACATTTCCCGCCCAACAGCAGTCTCTAATACCTCTGGTAGAGGGGGGAAGCATTATAGATACCTCTCAGCTAGTAGAGCCGGTCTCGCTGGCTGGGCGGGACTGCTGGTAAGCACCAGTACCCATAGGGTATAGAGACTGGTAGAAATCATAGAGGGAAGTACAATGGACCAATACAGGTCTCAGTGCATGGGAAAACCCACCCTCTCCAATAACTAACTAACTAAGATGTGGAAGAGGGAGCATCACCATGGTTTCATAAATTAGTATTGGGAAAATCACAATAGTTGACTGATTAAAGGCCTTACCTGCAAGAAGTTCTTTTTATTGTTTCCTGTTTCTTTTTGTCCATTAGCTATTTGTAGACTTCAAGAAAGCCTGTGATTTAGTTTGGGGGGATGTATTATACAGTATTCTCATAGAGTTTGGATTGCCCATGAAACTAGTTAGGCTGATTAAAATGTGCTTAAATGAAACTTGTAAATTCTATGTAGATAACATTTTTCTGATAACTTTCCTATCCAAAATGGTCTATAACAGGGAGATGCTTTATCACCACTGATTTTCAACTTTGCTTCAGAATATGCCATTAGGAAGTCCAGGAAACCAGGTGTAACCAAAATTAAATGAGACACATCAGCTGCTGGTCTATGCTGATGATGTGACTACTGGGAGATAACACAGACAACATAAATAGAAACCCGGAACCCCTTACTGATACTAGTAAGGAGGTTGATCTAGAAGGAAACACGGAGAAAACTGAGTATATGTTGCTGTCTCATCACCAGAATGCAGGGCAAAATCATGACATAAAGATAGCTAACAGATGTTCTGAAAATATGGTACAGTTGAGATATTTGGAAATGACTATAATAAATCAAAACCCAGTTCAGAGGGAATTTAAGAGGAGACTGAATTGAGGAAATTCTTGCTACCATTCAGTCCAGAAGCTTTTGTCTTTTCATCTGCTGTCTAAAATCATAAAAATTAGAATCTACAGATTATAATTTTGCCTATGGTTCTGTATAGGTATGGAACTTGGTCTCTGATATTAGGGGAGGAACACAGACTGAGGGTGTTTGTACCTAAGAGAGATGAAGTGACAGGAGGCTGTAGAAAACTGCATAATGAGGGGCTTCATAACTTGTACTCTTCATCAAGTATGATTAGAATGACCAAGTTAAAGAGACGGAGATGTGCATGGCATGTAGCATGAATAGAGGAAAGAAGAACGTATATAGGATTTTGGTGGGAAAGCCAGAAGGAAAGAGACCACTAGGAAGACCAAGATGTAGGTGGGTGGAAAATGTTAAAAGGGATCTTAGAGAGATCAGATGTGGTGGTATGGACTGGATTGAGCTGGCTCAGGATAGGAACCAGTGGAGGGCTCTTATGAATGTGATAATGAACCTTCAAATTCTATGAAATGTTGGGAAGTTCTTGAATATCTGCACAACTGGAAACTTGTCAAGAAGGGCTCAGCTCCATGAAGTTAGTTAGTTTTGTCCATCTATCTGTTAACCATCCTCAGTTCTAACTGGCTGTCTGTATATGTAAGTATGCAGAATCTCGTAACATATAAAGTCATGTTTTATTTGAATCTTAATCCTTGTCATGAAGATACTAAGGGAAATTTTGCAATATCTACCACATCCACTATAACAGCAGTTTTATCTTTCTTCTGCCTTCATGTATAACCTTTAACGTCCAAAATGTCCCAATCAGGCCAGTGATGAATATGGTTGTCTTGGCCAAAGTACCCCGATTTGGCCAGTCAGGCATTTAAACTCCGCTAGTGGAACCGCACACACACACACCTTTAGTGGAAGCGCATACACATTCCTAAATATTTATTTTTAAGTGTAGTAATTACCAGACAAACTTGAGTAAAATACTAATAGAGGAATTAAAATGATACCCAAGTGAACAACAACAAAAAAGAGTATACATATGAGTTATGCCCAAACTCATCCACTGGACAAATTTGAAACACAAGAAATACTGGGGATCCTTGACTGGACTCAGGCAAACAAAGGGACTCATATGAGGACCCTCAGCTAAAAGAGCAAAGGAACTGTTGAAGTTAAACAGGAACCAGCTACGATGGGTGGTGGGACTGCTTACAGGACACTGTCACCTTAAAGGACACCACTTCAAACTGGGACTAAGTGATAGTCCCACTTATGAGAGGTGTCAAGAAAACGAAACAGCCACACTTATCCTGTGTGAATGTGAGGCCTTAGCTTATTTAAGATTACATCACTTGGGTCAATACCTTATGGAACCAAGTGACTATTTCGACGCCCCCACATACAAAATCTTACTCTTCATTCAACACGCAGGATTGCTGAGGGGATAATCAAAACGGGAAGCACAATAGGCCACTGTAGGTCACGGTGCAAGGGCCGAGAAGGCCCACTCCTTATACAGTCATTCATTCATTTCTTGAATAGCCAAGCTTACATTCTTCTGTACCTTTAGTCAAAAGGTTCGAAAATCTGAAGAGTTTAACAAAGATGTAAAATTTGCCAGCAGAGAACGAAATGATTTTATTGCTTCTATCTGTTTTATGACACCAGGGACTGCTAAAATATGTCAGATGTTACAAGCAGGAATGAATTTGTAATGCAGAACAACTCTGTGAAGAATAAGGAAACAATTTTTACAGTACACATCAAAATTAAAAGAAAAAAATTGAAAATAGAGTATAGATCTTTATATAAAAATTTGCAAATCTTATGTTATAATATGTGACAATATTATCTTTGCTGATACAAACAAAGTTAATGCCAACCATTTATCATAAAAATTGTGTTAGATACAGCAGTTTAAACACAATGCTTAAAATTGTTTAAGTGCCCTAACAGAAACAGACATTTAAACGCAGAGTAGCAACTGGCATATAAATGTGCACCAACAGCAGACATTTAAATAAACTCCAGCTAGCTCAGGCTTACCACCATTTCAAAACTCTGTCATTTAAAGGTTAATATTTGTTCTGGTTTATTATTTCTACCTCTTAATATTCTAGCTTCATGTTTACTACTCTTGCTTTATTTCTCATCATAAGAGCTTTAGAGGGGCAGGGGGAGATCCTGTCAGCTCATCCCATCAGTGAATTATTTCCAGTTTTCTCTGTATTGCAATATTAAATCTTTTGTCTGTGGAATTTGTAGCAGTGTCATCATTTCCGTATTTCTTTTACTGTTCCAAAGCAGGCATTCCGCCATCCGTTCCGTGAAACAGTTTTCTGTTGATATCAGTCAAGTTTCTTCAAGTCCTCAAACAATGTAAGATAGACCACATCTTTCCATTTTATCATTTTTTCACTCATCCTCCCATTTGACATCATACAATTCGAAGCGCAGGACTGCTGAGGGGATAATCAAAAGGGGAAGCACAATAGTCCACTGTAGGTCGCGGCACAAGGGCCGAGAAAGCCTACCCCTCATACATTCATTCATGCATTCATTCATTCATTCAACAGTGTTGTTGAGTGAGAATGAGCTTCTGGTATCAGCACTAGGTAACCTCTTCACTTACAACATTTTAATTTCTTATCTTTAGTTGGTTATTCAACAACACTGTCAGTATAGTGTTGGTTTAATATTATAGGGGACATGGCAGTTGTAGGGTTTCTTAAATTCTTTAAGCTGCATTCATAACCATCACTGCATTGTGTTAGATCCACATTATGTAATGTCTGCGTTTGAAACAGAAGCAGTAAGTCTTTTCGTTTTCATGGTTTACCTAGAAATGATGTCAGTAGCACACAGACTATGTATTAGCAAATAGTAGAGTGGTTACTAAGTGGCAGATTGGAAAGAATTTGGAAGGAAATGGCCATGACTTAATTCTGTTACCCCAACAATGCCTGCCGAGTCTGGCAAATAAATGGTTTATATATCAATTCAGTATACTGAAGTTAAAGACTGATTTGGAGGAAGCCCTGAATGAATAATTAGATATCACATGGTAATTTACTGATGACAGCGAAACTTTGCAGGTATGTAACATACATGCATTCGTAGATGTGGAGGTAATTGGGTTACAGAACATGCTAAAATGGTTTTCCCTCATCTTGAGGAACAGGCTAACACAGTGCTCCATATTCGTGAATGTTGTGGTTAGCATCACAGATGGATTACACAAAATCAGAGACTGAATTAAATGTCATGAACCAGGCAGGCACAGGATCAGTGTTGCAGTGTTTTGTTTTCATTGGTAAATTATTGTGTGATCTGCAGTTATTAATTCAGAGCCTCCTCAAAGTTATTAATCCTGTATATTCTGCAATATAAAACCTAAACTTTCAAATAGCCATGTAGCTGGGGGAAAATCTTAAATCAAATGATCTAGTTTAAAAGGTTCAAGGAAAATAAGTGTTTAAAAACATTCTGAATCTCACAGAGGTTGGGGTCATAAAATGTTACTTGGACAAACACATTACTTTACATAAGATTAAAAGTTTGTGATAATGGTACATTAGTGGAAATATTATGTTTCTGGGCTTATCCATCATCCTGTCTTTATCTAAAATATTTATACATTACTGTAGTGTTAATTAGAAAATAGCACCTTACTGGTGAAACTAAAAGAAGCAGTTTCTGTTTTATTTTCAGGAATAAAGATGAGATCAGTCCTGATGTACTCTCAGATGTAACACTGTTTGTTATTCCTGGACCCAGAGAAAAATTTACAGAAAATGAATTTAACTGTATGAAAAGATATCTTGATTCAGGTGGAAATATTTTGGTTATGCTTGGAGAAGGTGGTGAGAAGAACTATCTAACAAATGTAAACTTTTTACTGGAAGAATATGGCATTATGATCAATGCTGGTAAATATGAACTTTAAACTTCACTTACTGAACATTATTATGAGCAGTTACAGCTCCTGTGTTGTTGTTCTTAGGTCCAGAGCTCAACTGTCTGATATCTGTTTTGCAGCACAGCACCTTAACCCTATGCACATCTGTGTCAGCCTGTCTGTAGCTCCACCATCCAGACCAACTCAACACAAATCTGTTATCTCTTATCAGTTTTAGTGAATGTGATAAAATAATGTGGACAAATATACAGGCGTAATACAACAGCTAATGTGATCTAAACAGGGCTGCCAACATTTGTTTTCAAAGAAAATTATTGTGAGGATAAGCAGCAGCAATTCAGTTCAATTCAGGTCCCCTTATTTGAGTTCTTGTTAACAGCAAATAGCCTATAATAGGCAAGCACCGAATGTATACAAAACGGTAATTAAATATTAAAAACTAAGACAAATACATATAACATGTCAACAGAGGGATAGGAACAGTGAATTCAGTAGGATTAAATAAAAGGAAAAGTATTCTCAAGGGAGACAGTGTGTTTATTAAAAACGTCCAAATATCAAAAGGTGCTGTTTCCAGCTGTGGCACATCTTGTTGAAGTCTTGAGATCTTACTGACATTAAAGGTGGAAAAGTTCCAAACTTACCCTGTGGGTACTTGGAGACTTACAGTTGATTTTGTTCTGAAAACCTTAACAAGAAATAGAGCATCAAGATGTTTTCATCTGGAATAACAAGATTTGAATTTTAAACAATTAAAAATGCATTCATAATTGCTTGGAGAATTTGACTGGTTGTAGCATAAGATTGCAAACTTCTTCTGTATGTCTTCCACTTTATTGGAATCTGCCAGAGTAAAATTATTCCAGGCAACAAACATGTACTCAAACTTTTGCTGAATCTTCAAGGAATGCATCCTGTTGTTGTAATATATAACAAGTCAAATGTTTTCAAACAGTCACAGCACAGCACTTCTCAGTACTACCATTCACATTAACTGTGCATAATGAGTTTATTGATCTTGATTGTTGCATGTTTCAGTCATTAAAGAGCCATCGTCAGGCAATACACACTAATAACAGTATCTTAAACTACTGAATTGCATTTTATATTGATACATGTATTGCATCATTACAATTGTTAATGTACCTTGTTATGTACATAGTCAGTACATCCAGTGTTGTGATATAATCATTACTATTTCCTTAAACTTATTAAAATCTAATAAACTTCTTTACTAGATGCTTACATATAAACGTAAAATGGTATAAGATATCACCATGAGTTAATACAATATTAAATTATAGAGTTATAAAATACACTTAGATGTTTCATATTGTCATGTTCAGTTGTTTCATTTTTTTCATTAATGGTAATTGCTGCAGTCATGACAGCATATCAAGTAGTAACTTATGAACACTGTTTTGGTTCAAATTTAGTTTCTGTTTCTTTTTTATTTCTTCTGTGAGGTGGTTGCATTGTTGGAACTGGTGCTTCATTTTCCATCTTTTTATTTTATGGGGTTTATCACCACTGAATGGATTTTCAATAAATCTGATATCAGAGAATTTTAATAACATTTGTCTGCACTTCTAGTTTTGATTAAAATCAGGCTAAAATAACAGGCAATATACATGTAAATCTAAGCACATTTCTCTGTTCAGCTTGCTAAATATTTGTCAGAATGAAACATGTTTTCAAATAATGTAAAAAAGGTAAAGGTATCCCTGTAACAGGCCATGGAGGCCCATATGGTTGTGAAACATCAAGGCTTCTATCATTCTAGACAATTTGCTCACAGTTGGCAGTGAGGTTGTCAGCCTTACATGCCAGCTGCCCTTTACCCCAGGAAGATTCCTGGTACTCATTTCTGTTAGAGGCTGAGTCGACCCCAGGATCATAGTGCAACTGGAAGGATTAGGTAAATTCTAAAATCCAGTTGGTACATCAGGAATCGAACCACTGACCTTCTGGCTTGTAGCATAGTGCCTCCACCAAGTATGCTATTGCATACCCATTTTGAAATAAACAGTAGAGAAATCTGAAACTCAAAATTTATCACTGATCTTAGGGCTTTTAAAGTAATTAAACAATAATGAGGAAGCAGACCAGAATTGCTATGATATATGTATATTTCCTGACTTGTTCAGTGTGTTGTATAAAAATATTTGCATAAAGAATACTTCGAGAGTGTGGGCAAGCAGATTTTAATAGTAAGTAGAAGATTTGTGAACCTGTGATTGTGTTTCTGCTCAGTGTTATAAGCATAAATGAAACAGAAGTTATGATACATGTTTGGTTGCATAAACCATGTGTGGAAAAATCAAACTGGATTGGATACATGGTCAATTTGTCATAACATTAAACCTGACTTTCAGAATGATTGTTTCCCCGCCCCCACCCACAGCATTCTAAACCACTGCTCTATCTGTCACCGCTC